GCTGCGGGAGCACGACTTTTACAATGGTGGATTTGCTCGACGCAAGCGTTTTATTACGCGGCGCGTTCTCCGCAGTGTTCTGCAGTCCGTGCGGGCAACGAATCAATGATACATTGATTGTTGCAGTCAAATCATGCCGCCCCTGGAGATCTTCTTTATCACACCGGAGAATCGGTGGATGCCTTATGGTTTGTTGTTAGCGGGTCCTTGGAGGTTATCCAAGACGAAGAAGTCGTAGCTATTCTTGGTAGGTTAATGCTCATTCACAGCTCTCTCTCTTCCTCTCTTTCTCTCCCTCTCTCTGAGTTATTTGCTTTAGGCAAAGGAGACGTGTTTGGAGACGAGTTCTGGAAAAACAACGGCTCAACAGGACAGTCTGCGGCTAACGTGCGAGCTCTTACTTATACAGATCTACATATGATTAAGAAGGATAGACTAATGGAGGTGAATTTTTGGGAAGGTTTGGCAAATATGATCCTTCCGCAAATTCTAGGTGCTGAACTTTTACAAGGCCTTTGCCAACTCTTTTGCTAGAAATCTAGTACTTACTTATAATCTCACTCACCGACTGAAGTTCCGAAAGGTATGGAGGCATATTTTCAAAAAATGAAACTTAGCGATGTATCCTTCAGGTCGTTGACGTAAAACGAGAAAAGGAACTCGACGCTCGACGGAAGAACGAGAAGTTAATTCTTCCACCTGATCATCCCGTTAGAAAACTGCTCTTCCGCATGAGAGAACGACATGGGCCCAGGATATTTCCCAGTCCAATGTTTGCTGATATTGAGAAGGTGTCGTCTTCGTTTGTCAATTTTGTGACTTGACATTGTAAATTTAGGGCATGAAGAAACAACATACGGACCAAAGCATGAATCGCATTACATCGGTTCACTCTATGGTTGATGAAACATCCAATTTGCTCTCTTCAACCTATTTATCACGATCTCCTCGTACTTCCAGTAAAAATAAAAGGCCTCCATTAATGGTCGGTACTTTGACATTTTTCTTTTTTCCGCGCAATCCATATCATTACCAGAAACGACAGACTGTTGATGAAGACGCACTATCGCGAACAAGCTGGGTGGAATCAAGTACTGAAAAACCCAAGGAAAAAGTTGGTGGACTGATGCTTTTATGCATAGCAGGTTTTTATCAATGCATTTATAGGACTTCAGCTCACTTCATAACCTTCGGTCGGAAATGAGGTCGAAGTTTGAGATAATTCACGACCGCTTAGCAGTAGTGGATCATATCAATTCCCGTCTTCAAAATCTGGAACGTTTGCTTATACAAATGAATCAACATCATGGAGGTTTGTTCAATATACTTACAACCCGTAGTACCTCACCCGTTTCTTACACGGGTGAATGCTTGTGGTTAGGTAGTACGTCATCTACATTGCCAGTTGGTTCATTTATGGGTCTGAACGAATCAGGAGGAAGTCATCTGGAGACAGGCGGCTTTGTAGCACGAAGTGCATCGTGGAATCAAGATAACTGGAGGTATCGTTCTGTGACAACCTTTGAGCTCTACTTTCTCTGCTTCTTCTTTCATATTCAGTTTCAATAATTTTTTGTCTCAACTTCCCGATGCTTAATGTCGACACTGTGCGATCATGCTCTTATTTAAGGTCTGATAGGCCCGTGCCTCCATTAGAGGAGCTGAAAAGTATGGAATGGAACAGTGAGGATAGTCCTTCCGGAATACCCGCTATTCAAGTTGACGACGACACAACAACACGGGCAGTGCACAGAGCTCCAGACCGCAGACGGGTGTGAAGGAGGATTGCCCCCTTCTAATTTTTCATCATCTTCTTTAAACGCATTCTTCTCTGCCCATTTCTTATACTGTCTGTACAGTTCTCATTTGGCTCGCATTGCGCGTTCTTGTCACTTATCTAGGGTGTTGATTTTTCCACTGCACAGATCTCAGGCATTTGCATCGAAATTGTTTTAAGACTTAATTTTACAATACTTATGGTCAACGATTGCTCAAATAATGTGCTATTCACTCTAGCAAGAATGAATCCTGCACATTTTTCCAAGTCTCATTTTTCCATAAGTCGTAGAACGGGATTAAAAAGTTAGTCTCATTCGTTGCAATGTCAATGCTCTTAAAAATATATTGTGATTTTTGAATGTGCATTTCTTCCTTATGTCGACCTGCTCGCCATTCAGCTACATTTCAAGATGTTTTCACTTATGCTTGGAATAATGAACGTAAGTCATAGATGTATTAAAGATCTATATTATTAGAGTTGCAGGTACAATACAATCATATACATCAACGAGCAGAAGTTTCGAAATACTATCACACTAATAATATCTTGATAAGGCTGGGTTCATACTGATGCGTTATTTCCGAAACAGTTCCAACACAACGCTCGAATTGCACAGCTGTGCTGAAACTGTTTGCGGACTTACGGATCAGTATGAATCAAGCCTAAACTGTAACTTCTAGCCGAGACGTGCTCCTAAACCCTCACGGGCTGTCCAAAACATTATTAGATCTATAATAAGGCTAATTTTGGGGGCCCAAAATTATTTCTAGCTCGAATGAAGTGATAAGAACTTTGCCAACAAGGAAAGTCAGCTAACTTAAGACGCTTCCTGATTCTTCATTTATTCCTCCACCCGTCATTTCGCATCGCTGGCATAGTGGTACGAAATATTTCGTGAGAAGCTTTATGAAGGTATGCAGCCAGTGTAGTGCCAGTCAAATCCTTTTAATCCTACATGCTGTTGATGTTCTATATCAACTGTTGTATGCTTTATGCACTTCCATG